TGCTAAATTCGATCTAAAGTCCTAGTGTAGACCAGGGCTAAGCAGGAAAAGGGTGTGAGAGGAAATGGGGGGGTGCGTGACTTGCCCAGTGGGTTAGTGGAAGAACTGGGACCAGAACTGAGTGCTCCTGAGTCCCAGTCCAGTGCCCCCACCCACAAGAGCACACTGCCTGTCCATGATACAGCTCTGCCACTGATAATCAGTTCTGTAGTTATTTTATTTCCCAACCAAAAATGGTAGCATCTTCATAACTCCTATTAGCTACTGTTACTTTTTTTTAAACAGCTGTTTCTTTTAATGATATCTTTATTACAACCTGGTAAACGACATGTGCTGAACTAAAAATCAGGGTCAAGTTCCCAGTCTGGATCACAGTGGATCAAAACTGTGTGGCTAGGAGACAACATAGTTTGAGCTGCTCTACATGTCAGGGTAGGATTGCAAATGCATGATGTGGCACCCTTTCTTCTGGGAGCTGAGCGTTTCTTCTCTCCAATGGCTTGGTGAGGAGGGGCTGGACAAGAGCTTTAGTGCCTCCTTTTATGTCATTGCACTATTGTCCGAAGAGCATGTCCCCTGTACATGAGATATGCTTTTTTATTGACTTTAAGAAATCAGATTTATTTTGTTAATAGAGTTGTGTGGAGCAGCCAGACATACAACAGCAGCTAGTTGTTTTGATGATTCCTGGTTTTTTTTAATGGTATTTTACTTAGTGGATAGAAAACAATCCCTACAATTACTTTTGTCTGGCATGAATCTGTGTGTCATTTGCATATGATCATGGAAAGAAGGGATTTTTATATGTCCACTTAACTCCACTGATTTTAGTCAAGCTACATCAGTTTACAGCAGCTGAGGGATTGGCCCAGGGTTTCTAATGAACTAAGGTCTCATCTATCACCCAAGTGCTGGAAAATAATATTTAGCAGCTACCCTCTCATGAAACATGAATGCAATAGCCATCAGGTCTATGAGCTGATAACCAAGGGGCTTCTGTCTATACATTTACCACCACCTCTAAACCTGCTGTGGTATCTGTCACCCATACTCCCAAATCAGAGCTAGGCCAGACTCTGATCTCAGCTGCATGAGTATGGTAAGGAACTGACATGTTAATTCCTGGCCTCAGTCACATGAGTTGTCTCAAGGTTCTGAAAGCAGACTGGGGTGATTATCCCAGAGAAGGGATTTGGGGCCAAGGAGGTGGCGGAACACTGCATTATGCCCTAGGGGTCAAAGAGGGAAAGCCCCTGATTCTTCAGGCACTCTGCTCCACACAGCTCCTAGCCAGTACCAAACTGCTTGGACTCCCCAGCACACGGCCATGAAGCGTGAACAGTAAAGATCATGCCAACATAGCGTGTGCCTGGTAATATCTCCCATGGCTGCAGGCTGTGCAGCATTGGCTGAGCTCTCCCTGCTCTCCTCTGATTCAGCTCTTGCATGGGACATGGTGACTCACAAAGACTCAGATTCTCAGCCACGGCTTGCTGTGCCTGTGCGTAAGGCTAGTCCTGGAGCCAGTTATAGGCACTAATTCAACAAGGTTCTCGAGGCATGTGACTTGCTCAGTAATCCCCAAGCTTTTGAAAGTCATGCTCCCTTACCCCTGTCTGTGACCCCCCTGAGCTGGGAGCAGGATGGAGGTGGGAGTGGAGCTGCAACCAGGCTCTGGTGGCGGCCGGCAGCTGGGCCTGTGGGCAGGCATGGCTCTGCTCCCGGCCTTGCCTCCAGCCTTGCCCCTGGGCTGGGAACAGAGCTGCGACCAGCGGCCGAGGTTGGGGGTTGTTGCGGAGCTAGGAGCAGAGCTGCACCAAGGCTGGGGACGGGGCCAGGCAGGAGCCTGGGAGCCAGGTGCGGGGCTGGGAGCCAGGGACATGGCTGGAGGTGGGACCTGAGCAGAGCTGGGGGTGGGGAAGGCCTGGCTGGCGCTTCCTCCCTGCCCCACCAGATGGTCCTCCATGCCCCCCTAGGGGGGCCCACCCCACACTTTGAGGACCTCTCGATTAGCCCCACTGACTTCACTTTGTTAAGGACCCTGCTGAATGGGGACCATAGTGATAGATAACGCTTTGCAGGCTGCTGGGGCTTGCTTGCCATCTGACAGGCCTGAGTATAAAAGAGATTCCTCTGGCTGGTGGTGGCTGGATCTGATATATTCAGCCCCTGGGGTGCCACAAATTCCTCAGCAATGGCCCTTGAGTCACTCTGGAAGGAGCCCTGACCAAGCCTACTCAGCCAAGAGAAAGGTGGAGTTTAAAAGCATCAAAACGAAGGTCACACTTCTGCTCCCATTCATGTCAAAGGTGAAATTCCAGCTGACTCCAGTGAGAACAGGGACAAAGGGATGATCAAGCCTCCAAAATGTGTGTGCAAACAAATCCCAGGAAGACAGGACTCTTCAGGAACTACACATCTCATAGCCTAGTGAGAAATACTAATGTAACCCTTCTGCCCGTCAGAGTTGGCAGCAACAAGGGCTGGGTTCAATATCTAGGGGATCCATTCCAATAACACAATGCAAACCGGCTCGAACCCCCACCCAGTGACCTGGGACAAATATATACCACCCCCGCTGGGCGCCTCCAAGAGGCAATACTTCCCCTCTCGCAAGCACATACTCTGAGTGTAGCAAAAAGCCTTTTAATAACAGAGAGAAACAATGTGGCATTATGTTGGGGAAACACCACCAACAGGATTCATAACACAACCCATGAGCAAAAAAACCCACCATGCAAATTGGGGCATTCCCCTTTCCCTTTGGTTCTTGAGTCCAGCAACCCCAAATCACCCAGTGACCCAAAAGTCTCTGTCCCTGGTCAGGGCAGCCCCTGAGTTAGAAAGTTTATCTGCGGAGCTTTACCTCCCAACCTGGGTGAAGATGGGACGGGGGTAAGAGGCACCTTACATGATCTGAAGCTGACCACCCCACAGCTCCATAGGCCTTCGCTCTGCTCCACCAGCTGCCCCACGAACTCCTTCGCTCAGCTCCGTGGTCCACAAGCAGCTCCCACCGTCCCACAAACTGCTCCGCATCCCACCAGCAGCTCCCGCCATCCTATGAACTGCTCCACCAGCCTGTCCACAAGGCACTCCAGCCGCCCCACAAACTGCTCCACACTATATCTTCAGGCTCCCCCACTACTTAACCACAATGCTTAGTGATTTCAGCTCTTATTCAGGTCAGCTCTTTAGTGAATTCAGCTTGTAGTAGAGGAGCCTCAGTGCTGGTACACTATTAGCCCAAAGTGAGCTCAGCAGCCTGTAACCAGACTTCTAATGAAATCAAAATTAGCTCTGATATTCTACAGTGGAGACAGGAGGAAGTGCAATTAGCATGTAAGGCCCATACCACCAACTATTAATACTTGTCCCCAGCCTCTCTCAATTCACAGAGTTTTGGAACCCATGACCCTTGCCTAGCGAGTGCCACTTAGTTGATGGTGAGTCCCTCCATCATAACAAAAGGCCAAGTACAGTTCCAAGCACAGTTCCCATAATCAGGGTAATAACAATTTATTCTTCCTGCCCCAATAACAGAGACACTGGGGATCCCACAGCAGCCAAAGTGACCATTTGGGCAGCTATGGCCTCATTCCAGGTGGGGTGGGTGTGCCTATGCAAATGAGATCAGCTCCTAAAGTTCTTTTCCACAAGTTGCCACACCTCACCACCAGATGTCAGGGTGCAGCTCATCCTGACACTGCTTACACTAAGGAAAAGGGAACCTCCTTGTAATGCCTTTTGTTTAACTAACAAGCAAGGAGCTATAGGGGTTTTCCCAAGAAAAACTCCTATTGATTTTCTTCGGAGTTTGCCTGCATTGGGATGAATGTGTAAGACACCACTATGCAGCATTTTATAGGGCTTTATCCGGCCCTGCACAGATATTGACTATTATTGTTCCCTTTACAGACAGGGAAACTGAGGCAGAACAGTAAAGCAACTCAGCCAATGTCACAGGTCAGTTGCAGAGGCAGGATTAGAATTTGGGACCTCCAACCCTGCAGTAATTCCACCAGACCAGGTTGCCTTCCAGTTAAAGGTGAAGGGCATGAGCGTCACACAGGGACAGGAATCTGGTGAATAAAAGCAATCCAGAAATAATTCAGAAGTAGGACAGTCTTAAGGGAGAGCTCAGATTGCACAGACATAATGGCCATTAAGTGACAAGCCAATCAAAACACAGCAGAAAGCATCTGTGGCTATAAAAGATTGTTGTTGGTTTTTTTAGTAAAGAGCAGATGGGTTGAAAATGTATTTTAGAAAGGCAACAATCTAGGTTAATATCTTCTCCGGAGCAGTCCCGGAGTCTTTTTTTGTATTGGTCTTGCCTGTCTTCAGCAAAAACCCTGTAACGTAAAACAGCCCCTTAGTGTGCTATATTATAAAGCAGCAGCACACTGGATAATCCGCATTCACACGGTTAAAACAGAGCAAAGAAAGGACTGAAAGAAGTTGTAGAGGGGACACAGTTTGTTACAAGAAGGGGACAGGGCTCTCTGCTCACAGAGGGCTGGACTGTTGTCCCTATGGCAGATAGTTTGAACATGATGGTATTGACTGATAAGTCCCGATATTTGGGGCTTTTTCTTATATAGGCGCCTATTCCCCCCGATATTTCACCCTTGCTGTCACAGAATCAGAGAATATCACGGTTGGAAGGGACCTCAGGAGGTCATCTAGTCCAACCCCCTGCTCAAAGCAGGACCAATCGGCAACTAAATCAACTGTCTGGTCACTCTGGGCTCAGTAGCTCCTCGCCGTGAGCGGCTTAGGGGGAAGGGTTTCCCGTTTCCCTGAGCAGCTTGTCGGTCGCCCGGACCCAGCCCCAGGGAGCCTGGGCGAGGAGCCGGCCCCCACACATTCACGCCGAGGAGAAAGGGAGGAGCGATGGAGGCTGTGGCGGAGGAGGGGTGTGTCATTGTCCTTTAAAGGCGCCTCCCTCCCTGGCGCCGGGGTGTGCCGGAGGGGCGGGGTTTGATGGATTGAACTGCGGCTGCTTTTCCCAGCCGGCGCCGGCGCCTCAGAGCCCAGGGGGCAGCCGGAGCGAGTGGAGCGGAGCGGATCGGCGCGGCGCTCTCGGGGGTCAGCGCGCCTCCTCAGGGACCGGGACCCCGGAACGAGCGGGGCGGGCGCCGCTCGGAGGACTTGATCTGGGGCTGCGCGTCTCCCAGCCGCCCCCACGGAGTGGGGGAAGGAGGGGACCCGACATCCTCGTCCAGCACAGCCCGGCCGGACCCAGCCCAGAGGCGGTTGCCGAGTGTTTGATGGCCCCGTCAGCTCCCAGCCGTGCAAGCGCGGACCCCGGGCTGATCGCGCCCTGGCTGCGCTGATTGCAGCTCCGGCCCCTTGGCTTCCCCTGTGCGGGACGCCGCGCCGCGCGGGGCGGCTGCTGAGAGCGTGCCCTGGGGGATTGCTGCAGCGCTAGAGCCCCGACGCGACGGGTATGGGCGCGCTGTAAAAAAAAAAAAAAAAAGCCGCCCCCATTTTCGAAACCCCTCCCGTAGCTTCTCTAGCTGCGCCGGCGGCGGAGGTGGTGGGGGCCATGGGGAACATCTCCTCCAACATCTCCGCTTTCCAGTCGCTGCACATCGTCATGCTGGGCTTGGACTCGGCCGGCAAGACCACCGTCCTCTACCGGCTCAAGTTCAACGAGTTCGTCAACACGGTGCCTACCATCGGCTTCAACACCGAGAAGATCCGGCTGAGCAACGGCACGGCCAAGGGCATCAGCTGCCACTTCTGGGACGTGGGCGGCCAGGAGAAGCTGCGGCCGCTCTGGAAGTCCTACAGCCGCTGCACCGACGGCATCATCTACGTGGTGGACTCGGTGGACGTGGACCGGCTGGAGGAGGCCAAGACCGAGCTGCACAAGGTGACCAAGTTTGCCGAGAACCAGGGCACTCCCTTGCTGGTCATCGCCAACAAGCAGGACCTGCCCAAGTCCCTGCCCGTGGCCGAGCTGGAGAAGCAGCTGGCGCTGCATGAGCTCGCCCCCTCCACCACCTACCACGTCCAGCCCGCCTGCGCCATCATCGGCGAGGGTCTCACCGAGGGCATGGACAAGCTCTATGAGATGATCCTCAAGCGCAGGAAGTCCCTCAAGCAGAGGAAGAAACGATAACCGCCAGGCCAAAACCCTGCTAGCCTGAAACATTGCCGGGCACGCCGGCCTCCCTAGGTGCCCCCAATGGGCGCCTGTGTCTAGATGAGCGCTCGGCTCCCCATTGCCTTTCATTGGGTCTCCACTGCTGTTAACTTGCTGGCAGGACTAGGAGGTGGATGAGGCTGGCGTCTGGGTGAAGAGGCTGCTGTAACCCCTCCCAGGACGACCAGATCAGCTGGCATCTGAGCTTGGGAGGGAATTGCCTTTTCCTTTGAAATCGGAGGATTTGCGGTGGAGCTGGATGCAACAGGGCTGGCCCCTGTGAAACTGAGCTTGGATTTGCTCCTGCCTGTGGATCTTAAGGGGGTGTGTATTTCGGGGGGGGATAATGTTTCAGGAGGCATTGGGTGCTGAGGCATCTGTTTGTGGTTAGAAAGCTGCGGTAGGAAATCACAGGCAGATACATCTTGCTGAATGGCGGGTAGGTAAGGTGAGCCTCTTGGGAGAGCTGCTTTTCAGGTTGCACCAGATCTCCCCTCCCCCTCCCCCCCCTTTCGATTCAGCCCATGTGCGGATCATTATCACACACAAAATCAGACCAACAAAACTATGAAGCCCCGGAATGAAGGAATGATACACTACTGCTTGCAGTAGCTGTGTGTGTTTAATGGGAGTGCCCAGTTGTTTCAGCTGAGGGTGCCCATCCTCTTTTAAAAACAAAGTCTACCCAAGGACAGACCTGTATTGATCCACAGGAGATTTAAAGCTGTATGGCCAGCTCCATGGCTTGTAACCACCTGTTGACTGGTGCTGAGTTCTAAATTGTTTGCGAAAAGGGGTTCTGTGTGAATTTTGCCATGAAGGGTTCTCAAGCATCTTTTCATTTTCAAAGGTGGCTTTTTTTTTTAACAGACTCTATCCTGTAGCAATGGTAAGCAGTAGGGCTTGCTACTTTATTGCTGTAGTCTACAGGTGGAGACCC